CGACTAACATCTATCTTGAAATCAGAAAGCAGTGGCGGTAGCTCAGATCGGCAATGGTGGCGACTGTTTACAGAACTGTTCTCAAATATCGAATGGATGGCTCCTCCCCGGGCAACCAGGCGGAAGAAGACAACCCGTGCACCAAGCTTCGAGAAGAAGGATAGATGCAATATCGAATCTAGCTTGTTTGAAGAGCGAAGGAGCTATGCACGACCGGAGAAGAAGAACCAACATGCAAAGATGAGGTGGAAGAATGCAGAGTGGTGTGCGACAAGCTTCGCGCACAGTGGAGAATAAGATCGGCATGTGAAGGCCAGATCTAGGCGTTTGCGCATCGGGCCTGTCTGGGAAGGAGCAACGGATTTTTCGGCACGATTTCACCATATTCGTATCGTATATGAGTAGGCGCAGGTTTCTGTGGTGATTACAGTCAGTTCAAGGCGGTGTGTGACAATTCCAGTAACAGCATATGGTGGTCCAGCAACAGTGTGTGCGTCAGTGTGTGGACGCGCGTAGGAGTGCGTTAGCGCCACTGCCTCGGCTGACATATTAGTTGGATATTATTCTTACCCTGTCTCTAATTACTTTAGATAATGACAAGAGTAAAAAAATTGGTTGTTCCTACTTCGAGTAATTCTTCATCAACTATTGGAACTTTTTCGAATAAGAAAATTCAAAACTTAAAGTGTCTCATATCTCAATTTAACTATTCATCAGCTATTAGCATGTAAAAAATGATAAAATTAGGTATTATTCATCTTCTTGCTATTTCTCATTCTGATACTTGGATTATAAACTCTGAAACTAACAAACACATGATAAACTCTTTTAAAAACTTCCTAACCTATTTTTCTTTTACTAAACGGGAAAATGTCTGTATAGCAGATAGATCATATACTCTTGTATCTGAAACAGGTCCAACTAATTGTACTCAACCATTATTCTGTCTTTAATCCTTTATGTGCCTAATTTTTCTAACAGCTTCTTATCTATTAGTGTTATCACTAGAGATCTTAATTAGAAAATTAATTTTTTTCCTATCTACTGTATCCTTCAAGATTTTCAAAAATGGAAGACAATTGATACTAATAGATTGTAAGATGGCTTATATATCTTGAACAGAAATCAAAGTGTAGTTGAGAATCACGCTGCCTTAAGAAATATAGATGTCAATAAGAAAATCTTACAGTTGCATCAATGGTTGAGATATCCTTCTTTCTTTACTCTAGAAAAATTATATCTCAATTTATTTAAAAGAACTTTCATAGATTTCTTATTTTGTGATGCATGTGAGCTAACTAAATATAAAAGAAGTTCTTATCATATGATAACCAAAGAAATCCTACATTTTTATGATTATTCACTCTAATGATTTGAGACCTACTTAGAATGTATTTGATCATACATGTTTTGTTACTTTCATTGACTGTTGTACAAGATTAACATGAGTTTATCTATTGAAAGCAAAAAGTGATATGTTCTCATACGTTCAGTCATTTAATAAAATGATATGCACACAATTTGACACTAAAATTAAGATTTTAAGAATAGACAACAGTACAAAATATAGGGATAGTAGATTTCGTGTCTACTTGGAGTCTAACGGAATAAGTCATCAGAAGAATTGTACCTACACCAATTAACAAAATAGTATTGTTGAAAGAAAAAACAGACACATATTGGAGATAACTCGATCTCTTATGTTCACCATGAATCTACACAAAATTTACTGAGAATATGCAGTTCTTATAGCTACTTACCTTATCAACAGAATACCATTGAGCACTCTCGATTTTAGAAATCCTTTAGAAGTTTTAGAAATAAAAAATTCATATACTATTCTCCTAAAAGTGCTTGGATGTGTTTGTTTTGTCCGTGCTACAAATGTGAGCGAGTTGGAATCTAGATTCCTTAAATGTGTATTTGTTAGATATTCTCCAACTCAAAAAATTACAAATGTTATCATCTTCCATTTAGAAGATATTTTGTGATTATAGATGTTATTTTCAGAGAATCTAAGTCATATTTCAATCCAAACCCAACACCTCTTCACAGGAAGAGTGAGAAAGAAGAGATTATGCATAGTTTGTTAACTCTTGACAGTTATATTCAGGAAAAAGAATTCTAATTCAGAAGGTCTCATTCAAAGAGATAGTGTAAGGTACCTGAATAAACCAAATTTGAAGAGATATTCAATTATAGATAAGATAAAAAAAGTCATCATACAATCTATCCCGAGTTAATAATTTTCTTCAGTTCCGGAAGATACTGGTGAGTTATCTTTACCTTATGATTCATATGATAAACTCATTGCTCATAAAAAAGGAATCAAGACTTGCACTAAGCATCTTATATCTAATTTTGTTTCCTATAACTCTCTATCTCCCTCCTATATAATTTTTATCTCGTCTGTTTCCTCTCTGTCTGTTTCAAAGAATTTGAGAAAACCTCTACGAGATCCCAAATGGAAGGAAATCATGATTGAAAAAATGAAAACATTGACAAAAAATAAAACATGAGAACTTGTTTCACCTCCACAAGAAAAAAAAAATATTTGCCTACAAATGGGTGTTCACAGTAAAATACAAAGCAAACAAGTCGATTGAAAGATATAAAACTAGAGTGGTAGCTAAAGGGTTTACTCAGACCTATGAATTTGACTATCAGCAAACCTTTGTACTTGTCGTAAAGATAAACACAATTAAAATACTACTATCTTGTGCAACTAACCTTAATTGGAACTTACAACAGTTTAATATAAAAAATATTTTTCTCCATGGAGACTTAGAGAAAGAGAGGTACATGAAAATTTTTCATAAATTTGAAAATGAAAGAACATAAGGGAAGGTTTGCAAATTAAAAAAAAAAAAAAACTTACACGAGTAGAAACAGTCTCGAAAAGCATGATTTGAAAGGTTTAGAAGAGTTATGATATCTTTTATATATCAACAAAACAACACTGACCATATTCTGTTTATCAAACATCATAAGAGAAAGGTCGCTCTTCTCATTATTTATATAGATGATATTATGATGACTAGAGATGATAAAAATGAGATAACTCAATTAAAAGAACTTCTTACTCAAGAGTTTGAAATAAAAAATTTAGAAAAATTGCACTACTTATTTAGAATTGAAGTTGTCAAATCCAATAAAAAAATCTTCATTTCTCAACAAAAGTATATCATATACTTATTAGAAGAAACTGGTATGATAGGTTGCAAGACAGCAGAATCACCTATTAAAAGCAATCACAAACTACAAGCAAGTAGTCATACATCAATTAATTTGGGAAGATATCAGAGATTAGTTGAAAGATTCGTCTCTCTCTCACATACTAGACCTGAAATAGCATATGCAGTTAGCCTGGTGAGTTAGTATATGCATGATTCTCGTGAGACTCACTTACATGTCGCATTTCGCATACTACGATACCTGAAATTTGTACTAAGAAAAGATCTGCTATCTTCTAAAAATGACTACCTGAAGATAAAAATATTTACAAATACCAATTGGGCTGGATCTCTGGAAAATAAAATGTCAACTATCGGTTACTGCACACTCATAGGAAACAACTTGATTACAAGGAAAAACAACCATTAACATGAGATTACTGCTTAAAGAAGAGAGTTTATCCCTGTTTTGTGATAATAAAGTAACCATTGACATTACTCATAATCTAGTTCAACATGACCAGATAAAGTATATTGAGATTGATCAACATTTCATAAAAGAAAAAAGTAGTTGATGACTCCTTATACTTATATCATGTATCTTCTAACGATCAGGTAGCAAATATCTATATTAAAGGACCGTGCAATAAATCTCTTCAGAACTTGATCTGTAAGTTGAACATGTGTGATATATGTGCACCAACTTGAGGGAGAGCGTTGATTAGGATATTTTATTAATTAGAATTCTATTAGTACAGTAATCTCATGTAATTAGAATTCTAATAAAATAATAATAATTCTCTCTATATATATTTTAAGTGTAATAATGTAAAAATCATCAGAAATAAAAGATAATATTTTTTCTCTCAACATAATTGCACCATATGTGATTGATTGCTATACCATGGAAAATTTTGCTATTTCTATCCCTTGTCTAATTCCGTCAGCCCTTGATCTCTATCTCCATGCAATCTCCACCATAAGCAAAAAGATTAGACAGATCTAGCTTGGCCTTGTCCAACAATGAAATTCCTCCTTTCTGAAACCCCAACATTCTTCCAATTTATCAAACCTATGCACTTCGCTCAACAGGACATCCTCCTTAGATTCCTCATTGCAAAATTCGGTCTTCCTCCAACATTTAATCTTTGATTTGAAAAAAAAAAGGAGGTTTTTTAAAAATTTTGAAGCTTGCAAAACCATCAAACTCTAGCTTCCCACCACCATTCCTTGACTCAATCCTTAAGCCAGAAACTTTAAACCACTTGCTCTCAAACCCGATGAGCAATGACCCTAAATGATATCCCAAGAGTCTACAAACATAAATGTGGCACGAGACAAAAGTTTTTGCACCAAGCTTGGAACCACATCCATTACATGGAATGTGTACAGACAGAAGGTGTGACAAAAACTAGACACAAAACAGTAATGGGCAAAACTTTATCATATAGTATTCAGCTAAGCGATTATCCTTCTCCTCGATGTAACAGGATTAAAATTTGTGTGGGGGTTGTTGGAAATCTCTATACGTTAGGCCAGATCTCAAGAGGTAAATGTAACTTTTCCTATTATTACCCACCATATTGATAGTCAGGTCAGTGCCCCAAACATTTATCGGTACATTGCTGGCCTAAGAAGGAAGTAACCTGATTATTATATCACATGATAAGACCTCTGTCTAAAAATGAATTTCATCATCTAAAGTGCAAATACTAATAATAAGACAGAACAGAATATTCATGAAAATTAATATCTATATTAAAATTCATGCCAGAAGTTCATGTGTGTTGCACCTATTACAATAATTTATCTACAGGTAAGAACAACCTGAAGATAAAAGATCTCATCCATGATTTTTGCAGCCTTAATAAGTAAAACCAAAGCCTCCTTGTCTGCATCTGTAAGCCCTGTCAACTGCATTAACAAAAAGATTACAATTACGGTTTAAAGGAGGAAGCATGATGCTGTATTATGTATTTATGACTTGTGAATGAGTGTGCACATGCACATAAATATGATAGTGATAAATCAATTTTACATCAACCAACTTTGATCAAAATATTTGTGATTATTTGCTAGTTTTTGATGAGTTGATGGCCTAATTTAGCTTAATTATGTTTATGTTGCAAAGTTAGGGTCACGAACGTGTTTTCGACCAGATTCAGGCAAAAGGTGGAAAGTAGCAAAATCTGCACTAAATGCCTAGGCGATGAAGGTGGGGGTCTAGGCGCCAGAAAGAAGGAATTCAGAGGTTGTGGACAGAAAGTAAGAGCCTAGGTGCTGGAAGCTTTTGCCTAGGCACTTGGTACAGGGAAAGCAAATAGAATGTCAATGTTGAGACACTGAATGTGGGTGCCAAGGTGCTAATACGGATACGGAAAAACAGAGTCTCAGTAGGAAGGCTGGCTTATAGCACCTGGCTTATATATCTTCCTCATAAAAGGTCAAACATTGCATATCCCATGAGTATGATTAGCCAATTTATGCACAGCTAAGAGAGGTTCATCTTCATCAAGTTCACAGGATACTACACTACCTAAAGGCTAATCCTGGCAAAGGAATTCTATTGAAATGGAATACCAGATAAGTTCTTGAGGTATACATTGATGCAGATTATGCAGACTCGTTAGTTCACAGACAGTCTGATACAAGTTATTTGTGCTTTTCTTGGAGCCAATCTAGTAATATGAAGGAGTAAGAAACAAATTGTGGTTTCTAGATCAAGTACAAAGGCAGAGTTCAAGGTGATGGCACATGGGGCTATAAATTACTATGGCAAGATAATTTTAGAATATTTAAAAATCAAATGAAGGGTCAATAGTCATTTTCCAAAAACAAGTTTGCTATTAACATTGCCGACAATCATGTGCAACATGACAAAATAAAGCACATTGAAATAGATAAAACTTCATGAAAGAAATGTTTGATAGTTGATTGATTTGTACTCAGTATGTCTCAATAAATACTCCATCTCTAGATGTGCATTCAAAAGAATTTAATACTGCAAAGTTCCAAGAACTTATCTTCAAGCTGGGAATTGAAGATGAATAATTACCAGCTTGAGGAGGCATGTCAAAAAATAGTCAATATTATATCTTAAAATTAGGAAATAAATCTTCCTAAAATTATGGGATGTAGATTAGGAAATCCCTCTGGAGATTTGATTTAATTTTCTTAGTTAGTTTCCTATTTTCTCTTTATAAAAGCTATGTATTCCCATGTATATGCTCCTTCTTAATATACAACGAAATCCAGTTTCTCTCCAAATTCCAGACATAATAAGAGAAAATCAGAAAAAAAATTCATGTAAAAAGACATTATAGAGTTTGCAACCTCCGGATTAAGGGAAAAGGGAGCATAACGATGGAGTTGCTTCTGTAGAGTCAAAGTGCGTCCCACAGTGTTCTCATAGTACCTTTAAGAAATTTAGATAAAACAAGTTGAGAAGGATTTTGACACTTAAATATATACAAGATGAGGAGGTTCACCCATGATGGAATCTCTCTTATAACATATTGATACCAAAACATTCAACCAATAAAGCCATGTACGAAAAAGACTACCAAGGAATAATTTCCCTTTGGCAGAAAAAGAAAAAAAAAATAAAACCTACTGGATCTTTGTTATACAGAAAATAACACAGAAATGCTTATGCTTCAAAATATGTGTTTGGATTTGAAGTGACTAAATGCGACCTTAACAAAACTTTTGTCCTTCGATGTACATAATTTTAGTAAAAGAAAGAGTAATCAGAACTAGAAAGGAGAATTACTCGAAAAAAAAGGACTACAAATTCGTGAAACCAAAAAGAGAAAAGAGACAAAAAAAAAAAAAAAAGCTATTTGACTTTGCAAGAACAGATTTTACATAACATACCTTCGTTTAATTATTTCAAAGAGTTGACCATATTGTCCATTTATATCATAGGGCACATAGTCAGGATGATCTTTAGCAAGAACATTTCTATACTCCTCGTAAGAGATATACTTTACAGCAGAGACCTCTTCTTGCTACCAAAAGGAAAAAAGTAGGAGTTAGATTAAGATTGTGCAGCAATGCAATTGTTTATAGCTGGGAGTATTTGATCTCCACGAAAATGACAGATAGGTGAAAATTGGAATATTTGCAAAAAGGAGCTTAATTGTTTATTAAAGCACAAGATATAATGAACGAATACCATAACGCCATTACCCAGTTAATTTACTTTTAAGCACATCAATAAATTTAATCATCGACATTCTCACCTGCAAAGTAAATGCCTCCAGAGGAATTGGGTCGCGAGTTGTTACAAGATATACATCATTAAATTCATTATTGATGAACTTCCCATCATTTATGACACTACATTCAAGTACAAAATTATTAGAAGTCAACAA